TTTACTTTTTGATTCTCTTTCTTTCTAGATCAGTGTTTTTACGTGAAAACAAACCCCTTGTCTTTCTCATAATGATGATGATGATGCGCCGTGTGATGTGCGTGTTGGCCGTTGTGCTGTGCTGCCCCTGCGGGTATACCATGACGGCGGCTGCTTCTACTGCTGGACAACTAAAGGCGGTGATGGCGCTTGACGGCATTCCTGGTGGTGACGGTGCCTTCGAAGAATACGATCCTGATATTTTTCGAAACACTCATCGTGGAGGCAGTGGCTCTTCTTCTGAATCCCGTTCTCTGCCTGCTACCGGAATTCATCCTAGTAACTCACAAGAGCAGGACATTCATAGTAGACCAGGTGTGTCGGAACAAAGAGACGAAAGACAAGAAGTACCAGTTCCAGCACCACTCCCAGGACCACTCGAAGCACCAGTCAAAGGACCAGCACAACCACCTTCTGAGGGACCACATGTTGATCAGAACGTTGTGAAACATGGAGAAAAGCAACCACAAATCACTTCTTCGCCTGTTCAAGAGGATGGCACCCAACATGTTAGTGCTGCTGTCAGTTCATCGGTTATTTCTGCCCCTCAAGCGGAGAGGAGTACCTCTACTAATGGAGGTGGTGATAGTGCTGAAGAACACACCGAAACTCAGCAGTCTAATCCACCTAAAGAAGGTAACCCAGGATCATCAAATAACACAGGGGATAACATTGTACCTGGCGATAATAATACTCCTCAACAATCTTCTCCTGCACCTGTTAATGCAACTGCCACACCAGACTCACAAGAAACAAATACCACTACTCCGCCGATCTCCGATAACACTACCACAGAAGCACCAACCACCACTACATCACCTGTTCCTGTACCCAACGCAGAGATCAGCAACACCATCACTTCCACCCCAAAAAACAAGGCTAATGCTGACAGCAGTATCAGTTCTGTGTGGATGCACACTGCAGCACCGCTGCTGATTGTGGCTCTGTTGTTCTCCTTTACTGTGTACTAAACGGTGGGACTCATCTGAGAACAAATAATAATAATAATAATAATGGTTAAGCTAATATAATTATAATTGCGTACATAGCTCATGGGTGAATAAATTAATAATCTGTTTACCAGCTCTCTTATTAATTGCAATTTCTTTTCTTTTACTTTTGTGTGTGTGTTCTTTTTCTAATAATTCCATTACTTGCTTTTCCCGTTGTATGTTTGCAGAAAACTGGGCTGTCCTGCTCACTGACGGTATACATCTCTTGCTAGGACACACAGATGTGTGTGTTTGTGCAGTAATTTAATACATAAACTAGAGCCATGGGGTATTGTGTGTCTTTGGCTCCCTCTCTTATATGGGTATGGTGGGGTCTTCCCTTTTTTTTTTTATTAATGGATTACATATTATCATGCAAGTGGCATATTTCTTTTTGTTGCTTACTGTGCAGTTGCTGCTTCTCTTACTGTGAGTATTTGTTGTATTGGTTTGTGTTTGTTTGTTTTCTATTATAGTTTTTTCTCTTCCTTCTTCTTCCTTGTATTAGTCTATTGTAGTAAAACACAACAATGACAAAGGCTGTAATGGTGAGGTGCTACCTGCTCTGTTTACTAACTCTTGCACTGTGTTGTGCTTCTGGGTTAGTATGGGCTGATAGTCCTAAACCTTTTACTGTTGGTGTTCCTTCTCTTGTTCGTCGTGCTACTCCTGTGGGTGACAAGAGTAAAAGGACTGACGAAGATGGAGCAGAAGTAGGAGAGGAGGAATCTGAATCTCCTACTTGTGGTGATAATTCGGATTCTCCTCGTTGTGCTAAAACTATTGCTGCCGACATCCAAGGGGGTGTAAAAGCCCCTAAACAGTTGGATGAGAAGGATGCTCATAACTTGGAAAAGGAAGCATTACCACAACCTGCTGATTCAGAGAATGAGAAGTTATTACAGGCTTCTGGCCCATCCTTAGTCAGGGGTGAAGGTGTATCTCCAGGTGCTAAAGAAGTAGCGAAATCTGTAGAATCTGCATCCACTCTACCACTACAATCTAAACAACAGGATCAAGACCTTTCTGTTACTATTACTCATCCTCTTCCTCCTGGTCCAACATCATTAACTATATCTGATCCTGGTGCTTCTTGCGCCAGTCCATCTGGTGTTGTTTTAGGCTCTACCTGTCCTAATAATCGAACTTCTCCTGGTGTTGGTGATAATGGTACTCTTCACACATCCCAAAGCCCTGAGACTGTTACTGTTGGTAGAGAGGGCAAACCGCAGCATTTGAGTTATGATAGACCGGAACCAGATACTGCTGCTTCGGGACACACTGGTACGTCAATTCGTGGAGACCCAGTTGTGAGTAAAGAAGGTTTGTCTAGAACAGACGGTAAAGAGGGAAGGGAGGAAAATGGAAAGAGAGTCGATGAAACGGAGAGTACTGAAGCATCACCTAATACTGACGGTAGTGTTGAAGTGGGTACACACAAAAACGTGAATCGAGATGCAGGAGACAATGGTGTTCAGTCTAATTCACCAACTTCACCTGCACCTACAGAGAATCATTTGACAAAGGACAAAATCAGTAATGATGGGGAATCAACCTCAACCACCACTACCACAACCACAACAACAACAACACTTCTTCCTGAACTCACAAACAACAACAAGGCTAATGTTGACAGCAGCAGTATCAGCAGTTCTGTGTGGGTGCGTGTACCACTACTGATTGTGGTTACACTGGCCTGTATTCTTGTGTGCTGATTGTGGTGGTGACTCAGGTCATCCTTTGTTTTCTTTTCTTTTCTTTGCATACATTCCCTACAGTCTAAGTAATCTTCCACCTGTTGGGATTATCTTTTTTGTTTCTTATTGTTAATTGTTTTGTGTGTTTTTGCTCTCTATGTGTTTATCCTATAATAATTATTATTGCTACTCCATTGTGTGTGTGTGTGTGTGTTCTTGGAGACTCTTTCTCTGTGTGTGTACCTGGGCTTGCACTGTGATGATGATGATGAACTGCTTTTTACAGTGAAAGAAAAGAAATAATAATAACAGATGAATTTATATTTATAATTGCTTATATAAACACATAGACTTACACCCATAGTTGGTGTATGTATCTGTGTTTAATGGTAAATTTGGGCTAATGTTTAATGTGTTTTTTTGCTTGTGGTTTTCTGGTGCGTTCAGCCTTTTTTGAGATATTTGTGAGTGTGGGCTTTATTTTTGTTTTTACTCTTACTACGGTTATTTCGCTGTATTTCATTCTTTAACTGGTAGGTTTTTCTTTCACGATGTGAGTTTC